CCTTTGTATAGGGGACTATACATAATTCATCCCCAAACCACCATTCAGATTATTTCATGGTGCTTTTAACAAAAATGACAGAAACCTGAGGCACTGACTTTTCTACCAAATCCTCTTACAAACAGTCTTCAGGCAGGCCTACCATGAAAACCTATACATCTGTAATTTTTCTATGAACTGGTAAAACCAATCTCTGTGTTCCTGTGATTTACATTTCAAACTGCAGTATAAAACACACAGCTCAGAAGCCAAGACCCACTTCTGTCTCCCTCTCAACCCTCAGGCTTTGTGACAAGACAGTGAAACTTTGGCCATGTTTTGTTCCAAAGCTCTGTTCTCAACCCTCAGACAAATGGCTTTGTGACAAGACAGTGAAACTTTGGCCATGTTTTGTTCCAAAGCTCTGCAGATCTTGCTTTTCACATTGAAGGATCCACACTGGATCTCATACAGGACTCTTTCTTTTCCCCTCCAAGCCAGCTGGGTCCCTCATCCTAAAAGAAAGGAGAAGTATCCAGGGACTAAGCAGCCCTGTTATTTCTACTAAACTTGCTGAAGTTCCCTTTTCTGGCTTTGCCAGTCCATCTTAACCTCACAGCAGCTCCTCCAGGAGCTCTGGGGCTTTCTGAAACTGTAAACCTCACTGAGCCACAGGAAACCCCCAGGACATGCTTGAACATGGCCTGGATTCAAAGACTGAGACACATTTTCACTTCTGGAAGATCCTTAACCTCACAAATCACTCAAAAATCCCTTTCCTTCAAACCTGAAGGAACAGTTGTTTCTACCTGTTGACCAATTCCCTGAAAGCTTTACGGGGAAAATGGCAAAGTCAACTGAGACCTTCTGAAACTTTTACCTCTTTAACCTCTCCCAAATTCCCATACTGGCAACAGCTCCTACTGAATGGAGTGGGTCAGACACAGCAGCTTTGAGCAAGGACTGACCTGCCTTATTCCTTCCCTGTTAATCCCACTGACCTCAGGGGAAATTGCAGCAGGAATTAATCAGCCCCAGAGTCACCCCAATCTCTGCTATGAGTCTGATAAAACCTCATAAGGAGAGCAGCATTTATCATATAAACCTTAGAACCAAAACGCCCCTCCTCATATTTAAAGAGAAAATGGTATTTAATTGTTTAATTAATCAATTTAATGTTGAGACAAAAATCAATGAAAAAATTCCAATTTGAAGTCTACTATGGCATATTTAGCTCCTTTGTTGTTGACAAGAAATGGAGATTCACCTTTTTTGGGGGCTTTTAATGAAAATAAAAGACATGACATACCATGAGTTGCATTGTCTGAACAATCAAGCGAAGCACAGAACACAATGGCAGCACTACTAATTATTCCTCCTTCTGCTAATTTAGAGCCTAACCTTAACATTACTTTGCAATGCCATTTTTACTGAAGGGAATTGCTGGGAATTGCTCTTCAGTTGAATTCCTGTCCAACATGCTGGCACAAATTGTCTTTGCAAGGAAACTGTACTTCTGCCTTTGTGATCCAACACTCTTGAAAGGTTTTAACTAATTCATTACAATCACAGAGAATGATGTGGAAATAGTAGATTTTCTTTTTTAAGCTCCATTTCAGAATAGAAACACCATTAATTAAAAGACTTTTTTGAAACAGCATTCCTTATCTCTTCCTACCACAACCAGCACCCAAGAACAATGTGAACTGAGAGACATCTCCTTTCTTTTTTTTTTTTTTTTTTTTTTTTTTTTCCCAGCATGTTTTCTGCTATTCTTCTCATAAAAAAGTGAATTCAAATATTTCACATTCCAGCAATGAGAGACTTTTAGCCCAGGGAATCCACAAGGAGTGCTGAACTGCAGTAACCACCAGTGCTGGAGGTACAACACTTGGGCACTGCAAAGTCTCAGTTTCCCACTGGAACAGGAACCAGTGTAAGGTATTCAGAATAGTTTTATATGCAATGCACTCAGCTACAAATCCACCAGGTTTGAACAGAGATATCCCAAATTACACACAAAAAAAATCCTCTACTGGCAGAACCACTAAAACAATTCAGAGAATCTGAACTGTTTGGTTCCTACCTTCACTGGGGACTATTTAGGCAATTTGGTTTTCTATTTCTCTAATGGAAAATCTTTTATTTTAAAACCAATATATTGAGCCCATCCCTGGAGGAGAGAACATGGCTGGGAGGAAAGTTTGGTTCTAGGTTTCTATAATCTGACCAGCAACTCACTGAAACACTGGAGCAAGAGACCTTTGGAGGTCACCTGGCCCAGCCCTCTACTCAAAGCAAGACAACCACCAGCTCCAGATCAGATCAGCAGCTCAGCCACGTGTCCCCTGCTGTCCCTGGGTGACACATCCCAGTGCTGCAGCTGGGGAACAGGAATTTATTTCCTGGTGTCCACCCTGAGCCACCCAAACTGCAAAGTGTGGCCACGGGCTCGTGTAATTTATCATCTGGCACTACTGGCAGGAGCAGCCCCAGACTCCTCAGACCCCCCTGAACCATTATTTAACCCCTCTGAGAGACCCTTTCCAGCTTCATGTCTCTGCTGATATGTGTAGGAATGTGTCCCCTAATGACAGAGTGGCAAAACTAACCTTTGTCCCCCAAAAAAGGAAAGAAGCCCAGAAGTTTCTCTCAACTGTTAGGTGAAAAGCCACCTCATAGGGTCTCAGGGACTTCACCAAACACCAGAGAACATCTAATTGGATAGAAGCCAAAAAGACCTGCCTGATCAATCAAGTAGAAAAGAACAGAACAAAAGAGAAGAGGGGCTTTTGTGAAGTGTTTCTACCAGGAGCAGACTCCTGTACCTGGCTCTAGTTTTTCTGTTTGTTATTTTGCCTTTTATTAAACCTTTTTTGTTTCTAACACCGCAGCAGAAACCATCCTGCTTATTTTATGTCCCCAAAGTAATAGCTGAGCTATCCTTGGGTGTATTAAGTGTTTTTCGAGGGCTTATAAGAACTGGCCTGGGAAAAACAATTTAATAGATATGAAGCACCCAAAGTGATAGAATATTCCAGCTGTGCTCTCAGTGATGAGGAAGGAGAAGGGCAAGGGCTTGCCTCCAGCTGGGAATGGCCTCAGCCACAGGGTGTGATTCCCCTTCCTTTGGCTCACAGGCATTGGCACTGGGTGCAGACCTCCCAGGTCTGTGCCAGCTCCTTGGCAAGCAGAGGAGAGCCAAGCCCTGGGGCAGACAGCAGCTCAGAGCCTGTCCTCGGTGGTCCCAGCAGTGGCACGAGGTGTGAGACCAGCTGAGGAGGATCTGAACCCCTCCACACAGCCAGCCAGGAAAGTTCAACCTCCTCTTTCAAACCCAAATGTGGTGGCACAGTCATAACCATACCCCAGAGCTAAATACCTCCACGGGTTATTTTCAGCAGCAGGACCTTTTGCCAGGATATTTTTCTGTTCAAGCCGAGCCACCCAGGCATGTCAGAAGATTTGAACAGAGGTTTTGGGTACAGGATCCCTCAATCAATTCTGGCCAGTGAGAAAGAGATTGAGTTAGAAATCTCAAGCTTTTAAATCTTAAATGAGAGATTTTGGCATAGCTCCATTTCTTGGAGGACAAAAAACCTTCAGTGTTTTGTGTTCATTCTGATAAGATAAAGAATAATTTTGAATGTAGCAAAGTTGCTGCCAAACCAAGCTGTTCTCCTATGGACAATGTGGCTCCGTGCAATTTTAGCAAGTAATTAAAAGAAGGCCAGTGGGTCTACATACGGTTTTGATGTTGAAAAACCCATTAAAGCATGAAATCTGCAGATCTTTCAACAAATGAATAATTGTATGCACAGCCTGTCCGCATACAGTAGCACTTTCATGGCAACAGCTCCAGAGCTTTTCATACCACACATTTTTAGACTATTGAAGCCTTGGTGTTGTGATAATGATACAATTTACAGACGGCAGCCAAGTACTTTGTGAAACAATTTCAAGTGGAACCTTTAAGCCAGTGGATTTATAGTTTCAGGGCCAGTGCAGGTATCAAGCATGGCTCAGGTGAGGGCTGCACTGGCAGGGCCTTATCTCTAAAAAGAATTGAAGCACACAACCATACAATTTACATTACTGGGAGAGAGTTCCTCGAGGAAGGGCAATTATGCCATTTAGTACACAAAATTCTCCTGAAGATTTCAACATTTTTCTCTTGGGCATACTTCTTTTCGCTGGCAGGAATTTACTTCATGACCTAGTTTTCCTTTCAGAGAGGACCAGTCACACACACCAAAGAAAAAAAACCCCAAAAAACCAAAAACTCTCTAGGAAACACACGGTTACACAAAGCAAATGAAGGCATGAAAGGAATTGATGCCAAGCAGAGGAGAAAGGACAGAATCACCTTTTAGAACTGGAATCAACCAAGAATCTATAGAGAAGAGAGCTGAATAATCTCTTCTGACTCCAAACTTCTCTTCTTTGAGAAGTGCCCAATATCTATCATTTTGGTGCCCTGTGCTGCAGGCTGTGAGCTCTTTGCAGTGTATATCAGCAAAGGAGTTACCCAAAAAGCATCGTGGTCCTTGACTGAACCTCAGGATTCAGTCCCAGCAAGAGCCAGTGATTTCATCACAGAAATTGTAAGCTTTGAGAGACCCATCTAAGCTGTAGAGAAACCTATAGCTCACAGCATTTCTTTCCAAACACAACCTTTAAAGAAAATAGGTTTTTTTTCCTGGTGTCTAATGCCTTCTGAAATTCTGAGATACTCTCTGTTCTGAAAGAGTACTGAGAAAACAACCATTTCACAAAACAGCCAATTGCAGGAGTGAAAAAAACAAAGCCTCCTCACTTCCCCCACCCCCATCTTTAAACTCCTGCATGCTCTACCCACCCTCAACAATAAATTGTAGACAGGCAAGATCACAGGACAGATATTTGGCAGCACAGCAATACTATATTTACTTCAGATACTTAAGAATTGGGAGGCAGAAATAAGCAGTTGTTTGAACTGCTGCATCCTCAGCCTCTTGTGGATGAAACCTTGCTTTCCTCACCTTTCTTTCTCCACCATGGCCCTTCCTGGATAGAGTAGGACAGTTCTTTAAACTCAATGTTCACAGCTGGCCTGCGGGGCAGGTAGGAGAACCTGTGAGCTTCTGTCAGAGCATTGTCCACTTTTTTTAAGTGTCCATTGAAGAGCCGGATGTCCTGGGTGTCCGTGCCATTGGAGACCACCTCGTCCACAGAAACACACACAGACTTTGGCTCGGCCATGGTGCAAGCAGAGCTGCTGCCACCCTGCAGGGAAAGTGGAGAAAGTTCACAGACTTTTGTTTAGGAACACGTTTCAAACCCTTCTGCACCAGAGGAGTTATTCTTTAAATAGCACAAAAATCCAGCGCTGTAACGCGCTGAAAGGTGAAAGAGGAGTAAAATAAAGCAATCTTTTGTTTGTTCTTTTGCCTGAGCCTTGACAGAAGAGGTAAAAGAGCTCTTGCAGCACATACAGTTCCTTTAGCACTAGTTTTTCTTTGAGATCTTGCACCAGATTAATACATTTATAAGTTCAGTCCCCATTGTATTTGGTTTCTCATGCACTCAAGGCATTTGGTTCTAGTTACTCTGATTCCAGGGCTTGGGACAGAGCTGAAGGGGGAAGGGATCTGGCTGAGCAATTATTTGTGCAGGTATTTCAAGAGACAGCCACTCAAAACGTCTTAAGAGCTCTTGCTCCTCTGGATCAGCCTATGCTTCTGTAAAGGCGAAATTATATTTCTGAGAATTTTCAAATGTACTATTTCATGCCTTATTTTCTCCTGCACTGATAGTTTTGGAGACTTTGCAACCTGGGTTGACAGTACAAGTTCTTTTCTGGAGGTCTTTTAGGAAAGCACAATGCTTTGCACCCAAAATCCTTGAGTGCTTTCCATGGTGATAACTAATGGAAATCTTATCAGCTGCATAAACACACAAACCCTGCTCCAGTTCTTGCACCACTGACACTGTAAGGTCAATGTCCTGTGCTCACAGCCATCCCTCTTGCTACACTTTGCCTATCACAGCACTCTGTGCAATTCCACTTGGCACTTTTTGGAGCAAACCTCCTTGCCCTCCCCTCCTGGCCATGACAACAGCCTTCCACCCACTTTCTCTTTTTTTTTTTTTTATTATGTGTCCAAAACTTGGATTTTTTTCCATTCCTTTTACCAGCACAGGTGCCTTGCACCAATATGAGCAGGATGTGTGTAAGCTCAAAAGAAAAACAGTCATGAATTTTCTTCAGCTAATCAGAATTTTGAACAGTTCTGTTTAAAGGCTGTTCGCTGTCATCTCTTGTTTGGTGGGTGTCATAAGCAGAGCCAAACATCTGCACAGTTGTCTGTTAGGAAATTTAGATATTTTTGATGCAGATTTGTATTGGAAAGGACTTCTCTAGATGGCTGATGTGCCAGGCTTTCCATGCTGACACATAATACAAAGTTATCTCTTGGAAAGCAGATGCGCTGCACTACTTTTCAATGCATGAACTCAGACAGAGCTGCAGATCTTGCCACTCTTTCCCTCTATTTGTCTAATTCAGCTAAGAAGTGACACTGCCTCCTCTTGCCTGTGCCACTTCCATTTCCCTCTCATGGTTCCTGGTCTTCCCATCTTTGCTGTGAGAGCAGCCCAGCTCAGATCAGACACTTGTCATGAATGCTGACAAAACATTAAAAAAAACTCCAGTGCTACATAATCACTGATGGAAAAAAAAGGTACTCCTGCTTAACCACTCCATAGCTGGTGTCTTCACATTCTCCACACACAAGCCCCAAGTTCTGGATGAAAGTAATCTGCTCTGCTCACCACATTTTCTCAAGAAAGAGATTTTAATCATGCTCTCAACTTACTTAGAGGTCAGGTATCCATTAACACTTACTGTCAAATTCTTAAATAGTTCACTGCCATGGTATGTAATTTGACCATAACAAGAGTAATGGGAAACATCTTAAAGCTCAAGAATTAAAGCAGGGGAACTCCCCTAAAAGCTAAGAGAAGATGAGTTAACAATATTCTTCCCTGAATGTTTTCAAGGCTGACTTTGGCACTCATAACCTCTTTTGTTCTGAGGAACCACTGGGCACCTTCACACAATCACAGGGAATATCCAAAAAGGAACTCTGAATGAGCAGGTCACCTTGATTATCTAGGTGACAAGTCAGAGCTTCTCCAGTTCAGATCGATTCAAAAAGAAACAAGACAAGAACCTTGGACAAGATCCTCGCCTCTGACTACTCAATCGTCTGAGAGTATGAAGGCAAAGATTTTTCTTGCTGGGACATTAAACAATTTCAGTCACTCTGCGGACAGAACTGCCTGTTCACACACCTGCCTCCTCCAGGGACTGCCCGCTGTGGCTGAGGATCCCCCCGAGCTGGGACGATCCAAACGCCTCCGGCTATCGGGATCACCTTGGCTTGGAAAAAGCTGGGCGATCCCGTGGCTACGACAGGCGCAGGCTTAGCCAAGCCGTGTGTAAGGCACGGACACACCTGAGCCCCCTCCGCCCGCTCCAACACCTGCAGCGCGCTCTCCACCCCGCAGGGATGCCCCGGCCCCGCATCCCGAGCCCCGCGCTCGCAGCAGGACCGCGCTCACCTCTCAGCTGCTTTTTGCACACTTTGGGCTATTTCCCGTGTAGTTTATGGAGCCGCCGAGGAGCCGGGCCGCTCCCGGAGCCCGGCGGGTGGCGGCGGCAGGACGGTCCCGCGGGCTCTGCCCGCTCCGTCCCCCGCCGGCCCCGCTGTTATGCAAAGGTTACGGTCCCTCCGCAAATCCGCTGGGAAGCCGGCGGGGCGCAGCGGCGCAGGGAGCATGCTCGGCGATAATCCCCCCGCCTTAGCTACAGACAGAGGTAACCAGCGGTCAAGTCCCGCCGTGCGCCGCCGGCCGCTCGCACACTGGCATCCTTCATCCCGCATCCTTCATCCCGCATCCTTCATCCCGCAGCCCTCACCCTGCACCCCGCATCTCGCATCCCTCAGCCTCCACCCTGCACCCCTCCGACCCTGCTTTTCCCTCGGGAAGCGTCTCGGGAGCTCCCCGCCGAGCCCTGGCTCCATCTCCCAGCCGCGCACCTCGCCCCCTCCCCCCAGCCCGGCGCTCGCCGCGGCCCCGCGCAGGGAAAGCAGGGCTCGCCTTACCAAAGCGCTGCCCAGGGAGAAAGCCGCCATCAGACATGCCATGTGCACCGCTGCCCGCCCGGCTGCTGGCGGAGGAGCCCTCCAGTGCCGCCTCTCCGCCCCGACTGGCTGCGGGAGGCGGGCGGGCCGGGATGGAGCTGGAGCCGCCCCCGCCCCGGCCCGCCCCACCGAGGATGGGGAGAGCGGCGGGGTCGGGGGCACCCCTCTGCACTGGGAATGGTGGGCAGCGTGTCCCCAAGCCGCTGGTGGCCGTGGCTGTCGCTGTGCCCAAACACGCGGCAGACGCTTGTCCCGAGGACTGGGGCACCGAAGGTCGCTCGCCGGGACAAAATGAGGGCAGCCAGCATTGTCCCCACGCTCCAGGCAGGGATGGGTTCCTAAAGAGCTCCCTGAGGATTTCCCTGAGGAAATGGGGAGTAGAAGCACCATCCCATATCGCCTTGTGCATCCCATCTTCATGAGGACGAGGCAGCTCTTCTGGCCCTGGGACTCCTACCCACTGATTGGTGAGCAAGCCATTGTAGTTCAGGAATGGAGAGGAAGGAAAGTTGTCACTGAGTTACATTCTCCATTCATTTACTCCTCACATCAAAGGCCTGCATTTCAGCCAGGTCACACAATCACTAGATCACAGAATGGCCAGGCAGGAAGGGACCACAGCGGGTCACCAGGTCCAACCCCCCTGCTCCAGCAGGGTCATCCCAGAGCACACAGCACAGGGTTGTGTCCAGATGGTTCTGGAATATCTCCAGTGAAGGACACTCCACACCCTGTCTGGACAATCTCAGTCCAGTGCTCAGTCACTGCTGAGGAAAGTTCTTCCTCATGTCCAGGTGGAGCTTCCTGGGCATTGGCTTCTGCCCATTCCTCTTGTCCCACTGCTGGGCACCACTGAGCAGAGTGTGGTTCATCCTCTGACACCTCCCCTTGGACACTGAGGTCCTGCACACGAAGGGCACCACGCATTCGTGGTGCTCACATGGCATTAGGGCTGAGCTGGCTCTGCTGCCTTGGATCTGGATATGTGGCTAGTCTTGGAGGTGGATTCATTGGCTGTGCCACCTGGGGACAAAAACTTGCCCCAAGAAGCCAGATGCTGAAAAACCCACCAGCCTTCTGAGTGTTCCCATTCCTGCTGAGACTGTTTTAGGTGTGTGCTAAGGCTCCCTCTCAATTCCTCTGGAAGCAGCAGAAAGTGAGGATAAAACACAGCAGCAGTCTGAGAACTGGTTTCAGAGCAGCTACCAAACATGACATACAGGAGTTCATAATCTGAGAGGAATCTTCTAATCAGGGAGCTTCACAGAGTGGTTGGAACTCATGTAGCATTGCACAGACACGGGATAAGCCTCACAAAGCCCTGGGAGGCAGGTAAGTATTTTATTCCTGTGTTTACCACAAGCAGCAGGCAGCATGGCGCTGCAGGCTGCTGCCCAGAACATCTGTGCCAGGTCGGATGTGATCCCTGCCCTGCAGTGTCCTCCCTCCTGACACTGGCTGCGAGATGGATGCACAAAAAAAGTGCTTCAGCACAGGGTTGGCTTCTGTCAAATGTCTCCCTGATGCTCTCCCAGCCCACAGCTGTTCTTGGCTCAAGGGTTTCCTGATGTGATTGTCTCTCCAGAATGGGCTAATAACCCTCAGTGGGAATCTCTTCCATAAGGGAAGACTCCCCCTTGGAAACGTGCAAAATTCACCAGCCACTGCAACCCTTGGCAAGGAATAGTGTGGAGACTAAGCTCAGCCTTGGATTCAATCCTTAGATGTTACAGAAAGTTATTTACTTATAACTCATCTATTGGGGAAGAAATATCTACCTGCTGTGGAATACCACTCAAACGTGGATGGACCCATCCAGAAGTCCTCACTGAAGGCTTAAACTGTGCCTGAGTAGACATTTTAAAGACAATTGTCACATAATATTAGGAATAAAGAGAATTTATGATGCATTCTTCCAGTGAGGATCCCAGGGTTTTAGTTAACTTGATTTGGAGCATGTGTTTGTAGCACACACAATTTATTCAAGCTTTTCTCTTGTAGTTTCCCTTAGAACACTGCAAACGCTGCATTATCTCCATACAGGAGCTGAAAAGGGCTATGAAATACTGA